TGTTTTATGACTCTGCCTGAGTGGGTAAGGTTTCTGCCTGAGTGGTTAGGTTCTAAACTGACTGTATTATGACTCTGCCTGAGTGGATAAGTTTTTTGCCTGAGTGGTTAGGTTCTAAACTGACTGTTTTATGATTCTGCCTGACTGGGAAAGGTTTCTGCCTGACTGGGTTAGGTTCTAAATTGACTGTTTTATGATTCTGCCTGAGTGGTTAGGTTCTAAACTGACTGTTTTATGACCCTGCCTGAGTGGGTAAGGTTTCTGCATGAGTGGTTAGGTTCTAAACTGACTGTTTTATGACTCTGCCTAAGTGGGTAAGGTTTCTGCCTGAGTGGTTAGGTTCTAAACTGACTGTTTTATGACTCTGCCTGAGTGGGTTTGGTTTCTGCCTGAGTGGTTAGGTTCTAAACTGACTGTTTTATGATTCTGCCTGAGTGGCTAGGTTCTAAACTGACTGTTTTATGACTCTGCCTGAGTGGGTAAGGTTTCTGCCTGAGTGGTTAGGTTCTAAACTGACTGTATTATGACTCTGCCTGAGTGGATATGGTTTCTGCCTGAGTGGTTAGGTTCTAAACTGACTGTTTTATGATTCTGCCTGACTGGGTTAGGTTTCTGCCTGACAGGGTTAGGTTCTAAATTGACTGTTTTATGATTCTGCCTGAGTGGTTAGGTTCTAAACTGACTGTTTTATGACCCTGCCTGAGTGGGTAAGGTTTCTGCCTGAGTGGTTAGGTTCTAAACTGACTGTATTATGACTCTCCCTGAGTGGGTAAGGTTTCTGCCTGAGTGGTTAGGTTCTAAACTGACTGTTTTATGATTCTGCCTGAGTGGTTAGGTTCTAAACTGACTGTTTTATGACTCTGCCTGACTGGGTAAGGTTTCTGCCTGAGTGGTTAGGTTCTAAACTGACTGTATTATGACTCTGCCTGAGTGGATAAGGTTTCTGCCTGAGTGGTTAGGTTCTAAACTGACTGTTTTATGATTTTGCCTGACTGGGATAGGTTTCTGCCTGACTGGGTTAGGTTCTAAATTGACTGTTTTATGATTCTGCCTGAGTGGTTAGGTTCTAAACTTACTGTTTTATGACCCTGCCTGAGTGGGTAAGGTTTCTACCTGAGTGGTTAGGTTCTAAACTGACTGTTTTATGGTTCTGCCTGACTGGGTTAGGTTTCTGCCTGACTGGGTTAGGTTCTAAATTGACTGTTTTATGATTCTGCCTGAGTGGTTAGGTTCTAAACTGACTGTTTTATGACTCTGCCTGAGTGGGTAAGGTTTCTGCCTGAGTGGTTAGGTTCTAAACTGACTGTATTATGACTCTGCCTGAGTGGGTAAGGTTTCTGCCTGAGTGGTTAGGTTCTAAACTGACTGTTTTATGATTCTGCCTGACTGGGATAGGTTTCTGCCTGACTGGGTTAGGTTCTAAATTGACTGTTTTATGATTCTGCCTGAGTGGTTAGGTTCTAAACTGACTGTTTTATGACCCTGCCTGAGTGGGTAAGGTTTCTGCATGAGTGGTTAGGTTCTAAACTGACTGTATTATGACTCTGTCTAAGTGGGTAAGGTTTCTGCCTGAGTGGTTAGGTTCTAAACTGACTGTTTTATGATTCTGCCTGACTGGGATAGGTTTCTGCCTGACTGGGTTAGGTTCTAAATTGACTGTTTTATGATTCTGCCTGAGTGGTTAGGTTCTAAACTGACTGTTTTATGACCCTGCCTGAGTGGGTAAGGTTTCTGCATGAGTGGTTAGGTTCTAAACTGACTGTTTTATGACTCTGCCTAAGTGGGTAAGGTTTCTGCCTGAGTGGTTAGGTTCTAAACTGACTGTTTTATGATTCTGCCTGAGTGGCTAGGTTCTAAACTGACTGTTTTATGACTCTGCCTGAGTGGGTAAGGTTTCTGCCTGAGTGGTTAGGTTCTAAACTGACTGTATTATGACTCTGCCTGAGTGGATATGGTTTCTGCCTGAGTGGTTAGGTTCTAAACTGACTGTTTTATGACCCTGCCTGAGTGGGTAAGGTTTCTGCCTGAGTGGTTAGGTTCTAAACTGACTGTATTATGACTCTGCCTGAGTGGATAAGGTTTCTGCCTGAGTGGTTAGGTTCTAAACTGACTGTTTTATGATTCTGCCTGAGTGGTTAGGTTCTAAACTGACTGTTTTATGATTCTGCCTGAGTGGTTAGGTTCTAAACTGACTGTTTTATGACTCTGCCTGACCGGGTAAGGTTTCTGCCTGAGTGGTTAGGTTCTAAACTGACTGTATTATGACTCTGCCTGAGTGGATAAGGTTTCTGCCTGAGTGGTTAGGTTCTAAACTGACTGTTTTATGATTCTGCCTGAGTGGTTAGGTTCTAAACTGACTGTTTTATGATTCTGCCTGAGTGGTTAGGTTCTAAACTGACTGTTTTATGACTCTGCCTGACCGGGTAAGGTTTCTGCCTGAGTGGTTAGGTTCTAAACTGACTGTATTATGACTCTGCCTGAGTGGATAAGGTTTCTGCCTGAGTGGTTAGGCTCTAAACTGACTGTTTTATGATTCTGCCTGACTGGGATAGGTTTCTGCCTGACTGGGTTAGGTTCTAAATTGACTGTTTTATGATTCTGCCTGAGTGGTTAGGTTCTAAACTGACTATTTTATGACTCTGCCTGAGTGGGTAAGGTTTCTGCATGAGTGGTTAGGTTCTAAACTGACTGTTTTATGACTCTGCCTAAGTGGGTAAGGTGTCTGCCTGAGTGGTTAGGTTCTAAACTGACTGTTTTATGATTCTACCTGAGTGGTTAGGTTCTAAACTGACTGTTTTATGACTCTGCCTGAGTGGGTAAGGTTTCTGCCTGACTGGGTTAGATTCTAAACTGACTGTTTTATGATTTTGCCTGAGTGGTTAGGTTCTAAACTGACTGTTGTATGACTCTGCCTGAGTGGGTTTGGTTTCTGCCTGACTGAGTTAGGTTTTAAACTGACTGTTTTATAAGTCTGCCTGAGTGGGTTAGGTTTCTGCCTGACTGGGTTAGGTTCTGAACTGACAGTTCTATGTTCCTGCCTAGGTTCTTAACTGACTGTTTATGATTCTGCCTTACTGGGTTAGGTTCTTCACTGACTTGTTCATGTCTCTGCCTGACTGGGTTACATTCTAAACTGACTATTTGCAGTTCCTGCATGAGTGGATTAGGTTTCTAATTTGCCTTATTCATAATTTCTGCCCGACTTGGTAAGGTTTCAAACTGAATGTTTTAGGTTCAGTTTTAGGTTTTAAAAGTTACTTGATAATGTTTCTACCTGAGCGGATTATGTTCTTAGCAAATGGTTTTTATTCCTTCCAGACTGGATAAGGATTTAACCAACCTGGGATAGCTATGAAAGTGACCGTTTATGTTCTGCTTAACCGTTACTTTCACTTATATTTTATGTTTATTTCATGTGTAAATCAGATGTACTAGTATTTTTGTTCCGTTTCCTTAATAAATACATGTACAGGGTCGTAGTATATCACGGGGCGGGGAGGGGACACATCCTTTTACTGTTTAAAATGTTCGTTGAAAAGCTGCCTAGCTCACCACTTTTTTTTTTTTGGCAGTATAGGCAAACTAGGCAAATGTGTATGAATAAGTATAAACATTATTTTGCTGTGAAAGAAGTCTTAACCTTAACCCCCCCCCCCCCCCACACACACACACACACATACACACAACAAAAGATTTTCGAGTTTGCCCCCCCCCCCCTTCTTTTTTTTCTTTTGTTGGTTTGTCAAAGTTATTTTAAGCAAGTTGCCTTTGTTTTCTTCCCCTCATCCCCTCGTTTTTTTTTCAAAGATGATACAACGTGCCAGAAAGAAACAAATGGACTCCCTTATATACCTGCTTGAAATTGATAACCAAGTTCTAAACTGCCTTTGTTTAGTTTTCGGGGGTGAGATTGGGGTTATTGTTTAATTTTTAGATTCCTTTGTTGATTGGTGGATGCGGACAGGGTTTTTTTTTTTAGCTATTTTAATCCATTCTTTAATATTCTTAATTCCATTCCATTAATTTATATTTGTGCTTTTTTAAAATTATATAAGCAGTTTCCTTACCTAAGTTCAAATAATTGCCTTACTTAATAATACCTAGACTAAAAAGGATTTTACAACATCTATATGAAAAACACATAAACTATTAGGTCATTCAATTCAATCGGGTTAGGCCTTCCCTCTCCAATTACATAATCTAGAGTCATACCGGAATTTGTTTTTCCGAACTGCCTGACTGGTTAAGTAATAGACTCTTCCTTTCGCGATACCAAGTGAAAACAAATCAATCGCAATTTCTCGGGCCTTTCCGCCAAGCCAAAAAACAACCAGTTGTTTTTCCAAGCTTGCAGGAAAGGCCCGAGAAGATGCGATTGATAACAAATAATTAAACGTTTTTTAATACTTCCAGTGTCGATCATTAGAATCGTAATAAGCCTTCTTCACTAAATTACCAATTCCAACAAAAGTTATATCTAAGTATTGTATCGACTATACAAATCGTAAAAAGCCTTCATTATTTGTGATAAGTCGATACTTAAATAATATAACACTAAACTACCAATTCCAAGAAAAGTTATAGCTATATTATGATATACTAAAGAATTTAATAAAACAAAAATCATCGCAGATTTCTTTTTCATTGTGACGTCATAATCAAATGTGCACAAGAAAGTCGCCCAAATCATATTGATTGCGCCCATGACAAAAGGGCCTTATGGCAATTTTGCTAAAACAGAGAAATAACGTCATAAAGATATGACGTTGCAGACGGTGAGCGTCGACGCAGATTTTTTTTTTATCCACGTGTTTTACGTTTTGACACGTCTAGCTCACTTTTGTCGTTGTTCTTAACATTAAAATATTGTAATTATTTATTTTCATCTATATCTTTAATTCACGTCTTGATCTTCTAGTCCACTGATATTAATTAAAATACTGTATTTAGAATTTTATTCGAGACCAGTTTCTTTACTACATGTTATTGTAGCTTTATACGTCTCTGATCTGGGCTATGCATTTCTTATAAATGTATAGAAGCTTCAGACAAGGTGATTCTCTGGATAATTGAATATGGATAAACGAATGCGATTTTGATATATAGACAAATTGAAGTTATTTGTTAAACACGGGTATATTATCAAAATATTGCAGAGGAAATCGTTTTCCTATATAAGATCCACCCCCCATTCTCAATTAACACATCGATCATGTAAACATTGAAGCATTGGTACATCGTGCATAAATTTTTGTTGTAAAATGCTTTAATTGCCAAAATTTGAAACTGATCACACTTCTTCCAACAGAAAAGAATTTTAAGTATTCTTGTAAGTTTTCACAAATCTAGCAAAAGTACGAACGAATGACAGACGTGATATTATTTTTAAGAACTATAAATAAAAACAAGAGAGGTAACTCTGACAAGCGAGATACTAGAGAGGTACCAGAGAGGGACTTTCTTTTTTTCTTTTTTTTTTAACACCATTCAAAATCAACATACTCATACAAATTTGCTCCCATAGTATAAAAAATATTTTTAAAAATCTTACTTATCATCAGTTAAAAAAACGTTTTAATTATAAGTATTATATTTATATTTTCTTTAATAGTATTTTTGAAAGCTCATGTAATTAGCTGCTGTCAAAGTGAAAGAGAAAAAAAAAATATTGAATAAGAAATAGATGCTACATTGAACCAGACTTTCATTCATTTTTTAAATCCGTTACATGTGCATCTATTTATTTAACATGAAATTATTTTTTTTAAAATAACTTGAATTTTAATTTTTTTTCAGTAATAATGATCATAAATTTAAATAAAATAAAATGAAATTAAACAAAAAATTGTTTCGAAATATTTTTGTTGTTGCCACTTCCGATGTAAGTACTTGAAAACAAACAAAAACTACCGAATAAAATAAAATTGTTCTAATTGTTCTACCTTAAAAAAAGTTTACATGTATGTATACCTGATGTGTGTGTGAGACAGGGAGAGAGAAAGAGAGAGAGAGAGAGATGTTACATTAAATCCAGTTTATTAATACAATGTGAAATGTGAAACTTTAATGAAAAGGCGAATTTTCAAAAACACAACAATATCGTATTATGAAAAGAAATCTCTATCTCTTTTCTTTTTCTTTTTGCTGTCTATTTATTTTCAGTAACTCGAAAATATAACATTTTGGTACTCGTGTTGTGCATAAAAAAGTTCAAAGGTTTTAGCTTTATCTGTAGTTTTTAGTCACTTAAAAGTCAAATATATGTAATCCTTGTCATTCATAGAATCTCAGCATTGTATGTCATTACAGTTCTATTATCAATCTAAAACTCGTTTTCTTATTGAAATAATAATCTCAGTTATCGGTTAGTATGATATTGCTTAACTTGCCGTTGAATTATGTATACGGGCTGATTTTGTTATTTGGATTTATTGAAATAAATCTTGTTAAGATCAAATTGTATTTAAACATGCATTGTACAAATTAAATTAAATGCTAAAAATATACTGCACAAAAGACTAAAAATATGTTTGAAAGTTTTTATTTTTGTGGCAGTGCAGGAGACCGGGGAAGAGGGCCAGGGTCATTTTATATTACCGGGATCTAACTACTTTACAGTGTATCTGTAAAGCTTTACAAGGATAAGCATATCCAAGTCTCTGGCATGGGGCCAGAATGGAATTTTTATATTGTAAAACTTCATATTTAATAACATTTGAAAACAATAACATTAGAATTTCATGCGATAAAGAAGCCGCGAGAAATGGGGGGGGGGGGGATTCTACACACACCATCACATAACAATATTTACATGTACCTAAATGTGTGCCACATCGTAAAAATTTGTCATTTAAAAACTCAGCCAGTCAAGGAATATTATGAACCAGTCGCATAAATAAAAAATATATAAAACTTTCAATTAATTTTACACCCCCCCCCTCCCCCTCAGCCGAAAAAATTCTATGAATTAATCTGCATGTCATTGATTCATAACGACAACATATATATAATTATTTATGATTTATTTCTTAGAAAAATCTTTTCGATATTAATTTAAAAAAATGACATATTGATTTCATTCAAAGTTCGGATAAAATTTGTTGAAATGACAATAAAATACCCGATATCTATTAGTACCCAGTGTATACATGTTCTTCTAAAACCATTGAATTTTACAAAATCAAACAAAATCGTTATTCTAGGACGCAATTTTTCTCATGATTAACTAGATTTGATAGCAGTTAAGTTTCCAGTTCCAGGCATGTGGAGCTTATTATCGCTGTTTGTTTTGAAAATGACCCTGCTAATATACATGTACGTAAGTAGAGAGTTCAAGGTGCAAAAATAAATTGAGGAATTATTTCAATATTATTTCAAACCTAACCAAATGACGTATTTGGAGGTTATGGGGTTGGTGGTGGGAAGGAATCCCCCCTGCACACCTAAAATGTAGGAAGATTTTTAAAATACAACAACCCTCGTATGCTATTAAACTCATGTTAACTACAAGTATTGCATGTTTCTGTCATTTAACTTTACCCCCCCTCCCCCCCCCCCCCGCCCACACAATCCAACTACTGGTCATCCTGGATCTGTTCCTTTCATTTTAAATGCATGTGAATTATAATTCATCCATTTGTTTATAATTTATCAACCTGCTTACTTAAAATTAATCATTCAAAAATTTTCCTTGCTGTGACTGAAAAAATGTGTATCATTTAAATTTTAAAAAAGAAGTTTTGTTACCACATGCGGGCAGAAGTCCTTCTGATTTTTTGTTTGAAGAGTTTTTTTTTTTATCAAATATTGCTTAACATGCAGTGTATCAACTTAATGTCCTTAAATTGTTGTAGAGCGTATACGGTAACTCACTACATTTCACAAATTTTCTGTCTAATTATATTTAGAAAACAAAAAAACAAAAAACCAACAAATTTTCACTACCCAGCAGCATCTATTTTATTGTTGTTCCCGATAATTTTTTTGAAATATTGTTTAACTTCACATTTTGAAAGAGATATCGTTAATACTGGATTCAACCCCCCCCCCCCCCCCCAAAAAAAAAAAAAAATTGACATCTTGTCCTATCGAGAGCCATGCTTAAAATGAGAAGATTTTCGAATGAATTCTACAGGTTTCTCAAACGATTACTACACGAGATAAATACTTTGGTTTTGAGAAAATAAATTGATATTGAACAGAAACCGCTTGCTTCTCGGGTTTTCCTGACATTCCAGCATAGTGAAATGTAAAACAAACAAACGAACAAACACTCATAATTCTATACGCCACTGCATGATGGATAATAGTTGATACAACTATTTATTATCATATTATACAATTATTAAAAGAGACAATGACTCAAAAATGTTTCTGGAAATGCTCAATAACATACATTTATTACCGTAGTAACATTACAATGCAAAGTGAAAGTCATGTTCACTCTGAAAACTTTTGACGTTGGTGCGAAAGTAACATGACGTCATCGTTTACCTGTTAAAGTATCATTGTAATAAATGAAGAAAAAACCTACTTAGAGTTGACGTAGGGCCTTAAAAATTCAGATTTGGCAACTTCTAACCTTGCTCTATTAATATCCATGAAAAACTTAAAATGTGTAAAAATTGCCATAAGGGCCCTTTTCCCATGGGCGCAATTGCGTACCCAGTTTTAACGACGTCAGCAAACCCGCGACCTACGTTAAAATACTGCATGTAATGTTATGTAAAACAAAATAATGAATTCTCGCACGAATTCACTAGACAAAATTGCTAATGCACCACTTATTATTTCTTATTTGTGAATTGATCATTTTCCTGATTGGTACTAGTATATAAAATATGCCTTCTTTTCCAAAACAGTTGGATTGACAAATGTCTTGGTGTCATGTCAAGACCTTTAAAGGACCTCCTTGTCCGAAAACCAATTTCCCGATGTGCACTGCGCACCGTTTTTGCCAAGATATGAAGTTGGTGATTACCGATGGTGGTCCGTGACCTTGCGACGGGAGCAGTCCCCCACTTAAAAATAAAATAATATACGCTGATTGACTACCATATCGCCTAGTAGTCATCCAGTGCCTTGGTGTCCCTACCAAGTCCACCCAACTTCCGGTTGCCCCAATTTTGTGGAACAATCTTGATATTATTGTGTCGTGCTCACTTAATGCCGTCGATATCTATTGTAAACATTTTTGTGATCGTTAATTCATTTTCAACAATTTTTCACCAGAGAAATTCATAATCATCTAATTCTTTTAATTTTTTTTTTTACAAATTTCTTCAAAGGAACCCCCTGCAGATTCGATACTGGCTGCCTTAGCACACTCTTCTAGAGTCAAACGCCGCATACGGTGTAACTTTTTTTTCTGAGTTTTTAATTTGTACAAACATAAAGAACACAACCACAAAGAAAAAATCAGAAATTAATTCCACCAAAAAAGTATGAATGTGATTTAATTTTTTTCTATGAAGTGGTTACGCTTCAGTAAACATTGTTGTTATTTATCAGTTAAAGCATTTAAATGTCTCATTTTTTACTAAAGTAACATAATTATATATCAAAACATTATAAACAAGTTTTGAAAAGAAAAATGTTAATTTATTTAGGTGGTGTGTTAGCAATTTTGTCTAGTGTATATTTTACCATATCTGCATTTTATATGTAACTCATGGCACACGGATATAATAAAATTCGGTTAATTTGAAATAGATATTAAGGTCCCTTAAAATTCAATGTAAATGAGTCTGACTGTGGCTTCAACTCATCAACCTCAAAATTTGTAATTTATAAATTTAAAAAAGTAACATGTTCAAATATATTTAGGTGCTAAGCAATTAAGTATCAATCAAATGCGTGGAAGACAAACGTTAGTTTACTGCTGTATTAGCAGCAGCCAAGTCCGGAGTTTTCCTACCTACTCAAACATTTTCATCAGGGTTATACTGATAAATATCAGCCCCATACAATATTCCCAAAGACTTGGATATATTCTTAAGTGAAAACCA